AATCATTTGCCAAAAAGTTCACTTCACCTGCAGATGTGTTACGGGAAAACCACTACCTGCACAGCGGCCACACACCTGGCCTGGGCACGTGTGCTCCCTAGTTAGCAAGCTGGAGAACTGAAGTCCATGTTTTCTAACTGGATGAGAATGTGCAGCTAGCTGACTGCTGCTCAGATCTGACGGGAAGCTAAGATGGGAAGAATCTACAGGTTCCAGTGGACTGGGACCGTGGCCAAGTCACCCCAGGTGGAATTTCAACCACTTAAAAGAGGCAATATATACTTCACACCCCCTACCCCCCCTCCCCAAAATAGTCCCCCAGCTGGTGGAGCGCTGATTTCACTGCGGTATTTGTGGAAACTCGAACTGAATCCAAGAGGCGATGGCGCCGTGGCTCACTAGGCTAATCCTCCGCCTTGCGGCGCCGGCACACCGGGTTCTAGTCCCGGTCGGGGCGCCGGATTCTGTCCCGGTTGCCCCTCTTCCAGGCCAGCTCTCTGCTGTGGCCAGGGAGTGCAGTGGAGGATGGCCCAAGTACTTGGGCCCTGCACCCCATGGGAGACCAGGAAAAGCACCTGGCTCCTGGCTCCTGCCATCGGATCAGCGCAGTGCGCTGGCCGTGGCGGCCATTGGAGGGAGAACCAATGGCAAAGGAAGACCTTTCTCTCTGTCTCTCTCTCTCACTGTCCACTCTGCCTGTCAAAAAAATTTAAAAAAATTTTTTAAAAAAATGAATCCAAGAGGCAAAAGAGCAAATCCACTGAAGGGGCTTGTGATGCCCTGGGAGCAGGGATAGAGCCTGAGGCCCAGCTCATCAGTTCAGGCTACACAAATTTAACACCTACTGTGTACCAGACCCTGGAGACCCTCCCCAGACAGATGCAGCCGGGGCTCGGCTTTTGTGGAATGTATGTTCTTAGGGCATATTATCAGCTAGCGATCAACGCTGTGGAGAGAGAGGGTAGCTATTCTAGACGAAGGGAGATCACCAGGACCTGGCTTTTGAGATGACCAAGGTCTGAGGAGGCTGGCCAGCCATTCCCAGCCCCTTCCCCCTGCTCTCCCACCTCACCCCCAGCCCGGGTAAGCGCCTCCCGACAGGAACGCCCCACCCCCAGCTCCCTAGAGAGCAAGAGCGCTGTGGCCCTCAGTGCTAGCCAGGACCGGGCAGACTGGCCAAGCCGGAGCTGACCTGGGAGGCTCCCGGCATTAGGTCTCCGCGTGCACCGCGGGAGACGCGACAGGGGGCGTGGCGGGAGCGGCTAGCGGTCCGCGCCGTAGAACGCATGCGCAAAGGTGGCTCCGCGGCGCGGTACGCATGCGCGCGAGAGGGCGGGAAGCCGAGAGGGGCGGCGGTTGTGGTCGCGGCGCGCGAGGCTTGGCAGTGGGCTGAGACGGCTGAAGAGGAAGTGCGACTGTTCTGTCTGCTGGCGCTATGGCGAAACCAAAGCATCGTCCCTTCTGCTTGAGCGTGAAAGGCCACGTGAAGATGCTGCGGCTGGTGAGGGCCGGGCGGCGGGTCGAGGGGCTCGAGGGGCTCAAGGGTAGTGAGTGTCCGCGTGCTCTTTCAGCCCCCACCCCGTTGTGATGAGGCCTCCCCCGGGCAAGGCCTTCCACGCTGCGCCCTGGAGGAAAGACAGAACTAAGGCAGGCACTGTCCCCACCCTTCCGCAAAACCGATTGAGCCTCCTGAGTCACCTGCCCTTGGGCCCACAGGCCAGACCCCCGGGTGATGCGACGCGGCTGCACACGTACAGCTCAAAAGCCAACAGGATTGAAAAGAAATTGTTTTCCATCCCGGTGGGGCTAGATGCTCTGTGTATTACTGAAGTCGGTCATTGGATGTGCATGTGCCGGCAGGGTCCAAGCCAGGTCCAGAGCTGCCCGGGACCAGGAGCCTGGCCGGCAGCTGTGATCAGAGACGTGCAGAAAGGAATCCCCACTTCTAGAAAAGTGACGGGGCAAGTTAGATCGCAGGAAACTGCTAGTTGAAGGAATCCGAGAAGAGACAGCGTGTGGGGAAAAAATGAATTGTCTTAAATGATGAAGAGTTGACCCGCGGAGCAGGGGAGGAGATGGTTAAAAGTTACAGGGACCTCTTCCTCTTAACAGGAGGAAGCACTGTGTATTGGGAAAGGTCTCGAAAATCATATGGCCACTTGGCAGGCAGAGCGCTCCCGAGAGCAGAGGTTGACAGGCAGAGTGGAGTTGTGAGGGCGCTGCGAACCCCAGGGCAGTGAGGGGACCCTCTTGCGTCCCTGCCACCCTCTGGGTGAGTCTGAGAAACAGCTGTGACATAAAAACAAAGCAGAACCTTCGCGAGAGCCGTTCAGAAACCTGTTCTAGACTCAGAGGAAGAAGGCATTACATCTGGTTCAGCAAGAGTAATAACCAGGGAGAGGCCGGCGCCGCGGCTCACTAGGCTAATCCTCCGCCTGCGGCGCCGACACACCGGGTTCTAGTCCCGGTCGGGGCGCCGGATTCTGTCCCGGCTGCCCCTCTTCCAGGCCAGCTCTCTGCTGTGGCCAGGGAGTGCAGTGGAGGATGGCCCAAGTGCTTGGGCCCTGCACCCGCATGGGAGACCAGGAAGAAGCACCTGGCTCCTGCCTTTGGATCAGCACAGTGCTGGCCGCAGCAGCCATTTGGGGGGTGAACCAACAGAAGGAAGACCTTTCTCTCTGTCTCTCTCTCTCTCACTGTCTAACCCTGCCTGTCAAAAATAAATAAATAAATAAATAAATAAATAACCAGGGAGAAAGCGAGCTGCAGGCCTGAGGGCTTTGTGCCAAGCACTGAAAGCGCTAGAACCCTGGAGGAAGAACAGGTTCGTGAGGAAGGTTTCGTTTCTGACCTATTAATTCCGTTAACAAGCGATCTGATTAACTTGTTCCAAGCTCTAGAGATGAACAAAGAAGTTGCTGACCCATGGTGTTCTTCAGTCCAGTCATCAGCATATAGCTATAACACATAACAGGGTGGAGACAGGGCACAGAAGTAGACGACTAACCAGGAAAATAAATGGAAGTGTCAAAACTTCCTGGAAACTTAAGGTGGGGTCTGAGAGCCACCTGAACAAAGGCATGAAAGCAAAATACAGAACTTAGCAGCACACTAAAAGAAGCTGAATGTTACCTTATTGATTCACTTAACAAGTATTTTTGAATACCTGTGGTGTGCCAGAAATCATCCCAGACTCTTGAGAGAGATCAGAGAACAAAAGAAAGAGTCCTGCCCTCATAAGACTTTACTTACTGGATGGGAGGGCATAGGAGACAAAGATACTATGTAGTATTCAAGAAGGCCGTTAAGTGCTATGGAATAAGAAAAAAACTAAAGCCAGGTTAAAGGAGGAAGGGGCTTGTAGTAAAAGGCTCTAGACTGTAGTAATAAGTACAAGGATTATTATACAGTCAGGTTGACATCTGATGAAACAGATGACTGAGGTTAGCTTTAAGAATATCTGGAGGAAGCGTGAAGCAGAGGATAGTCCACTGGGTTGACCTAGTGACAGGCATGTGCCTGAAGGAGTCAAGAACCAGTGTGGCTGGAGTAGAATACAGTGGTGATAAGGGAAGTTTTGAATCGGACTTTAAAAAAAAAAAAAAAGGCCACCACTGTGGCGTAGTAGGTCAAGCATCTGCCTGCAGTGGCAGCTTCTTATACAGGTGCCAGTTTGAGTCCCAGCTGCTCCACTTCCGATCCAGTTCCCTGCTGATAGCCTGGGAAAGCAGAAGATGGCCTAACTCTTTGGGCCCCTGCACCCTCATGGGAGACATGGAAGAAGCTCCTGGTTCCTGGCTTCTGGCTCGTGGCTTCAGATTGGCCCAGCTCTGGATATTGCGGCCATCTGGGTAGTGAACACTGGATGAAAGACCTTTCTCTCTGTAACTCTGCCTCTCAAATATATAAAATCTTAAACAATTTTTTTTAATTACACTAGCTTCTATGTTAATGGGAGATTGATGGGAAGGAACAGGAAAGGACTACAGCAAGGTCAAGGGTAGACCAGTTAAAGATCTTGCAATGATCTGGCAAGAGATGATGGCAGCTCAGACCAGCTGGTGTCTGGTGGTAGCAGAGTAGGTAATAGAAACGCTCAGGGCCTTCAAAGAGTTCATGGAAAATTAAATTGCAATTTAATTTTGTTTTGGTACAAAAAGTTGAAATCCATTTGGTTTTTTCCTAATATGCATTTTTCCTGAATTTGTTGAAGAATCATTATATGCATGGATTTCAATTCCTTTTGGCACCAAGATAAACTTTTAATTCTATTTTTCATAAACTTTTTGAAGTATATTTGTCAAGTTTAAATATCATTTATCCTAAATGTTCAGAACCAGAAGCAATTTGGACTTTAGGTTTTTGATGATTTGTATTTACAGAGTAATGCATCTCAGGGATGGGACCCAAGTCTAAACATGAAACTTACTTATGTTTCATATACACCTTATATATACAGCCTAAAGGTAATTTTATGCAACCTTTTTTTATAATTTTGTGCATAAAACAAAGTGTGTACATTCAACCCTGAGAGATCAGCTATGAACTTTTCCATTCAAGAAGTTTTAGATGTTGGAGCATTTGGGATTTTGGATTTTCAAATTATAAATGTTAAACCTGTATTTTGAAAGTAGTTACCGGCCGGCGTCGCAGCTCACTTGACTAATCCTCCTCCGGAGGCGCTGGCACCCCGGGTTCTAGTCCCAGTTGGGGCACCAGTTCTGTCCCGGTTGCTCCTCTTCCAGTCCAGCTCTCTGCTGTGGCGTGGGAAGGCAGTGGAGGATGGCCCAAGTGCTTGGAACCTGCACTCACAGGGGAGACCAGGAGGAAGCGCCTGGCTCCTGGCTTCAGATCAACGCAGCGTGCTGGCCATAGTGGCCATTGGGGGGTGAACCAATGGAAAAAGGAAGACCTTTCTCTCTGTCTTTCTCTCTCTCAATGTCTAATTCTGCCTGTCAAAAAAAAAAATTAAAAAAAAAAAAGAAAGTAGTTACCAAAACAAAATTGCTGCTGAACCAAAAGAAAGAAGACTCAAGATAACACCAAGGTTTTTGGCCTAAGCAACAGGAAGAGTAGAGTCACCCTCCGTGGAGACTGGAAATCTTACAGTGAAGCAAATGTGGCAAAAGAATCAGAAGTTCAATTTTGGATCTCAGTGTGAGAGTAGAGATATCTATTGGACATCTAAATGGTAAAATTGGTTAAGGAGTTGAAATAGACAAGAATGGATTTTGGTAGAGGTCAGGTTTTAGGTATATAAAATATTTAAAGCCACAAAAATGATGAAGTCATCAAGATAATATAAAAAATATAAATAAGGAAGTATGGGATGTACCACAGAACATTTCAACATCAAGACGTTCGGGAAAAGAGGGGGAACCAGCAAAGAAGACTATGAGAGAGCATTTGTGAAGTAGGAGAAACCAAGAATATGATGCCCTGGAAGCCATGAGGAGAAGCTCTTGAAGGAGTCACCAGCTTGTCAGATACATCAGTTCAAGTAAGATAAGGACCAAGAATAAACACTAAAATGCTAATGTGGAGAAATGTGAGGCAACTCTTTGCTTTCAGGGCAGACAAGAGCTCAGTCAGGGAAGACCCTGGCCATGCATTCAGAGGGAGGCTCTATTTGGAAGACCAAGGGGAGCCACTGAAGGATTCTAGATAGATGAAGAAATATATAAACCAATTTGCACTTTAGAAATTTTACTGTAGTGTATTTGTCATGATAGTTCAAGGGAAAGATGCTGAAGGGCAGTAGTTGTAGGGATGAAGAGGAGGGAAGGCCGAAAGTGGGCATAGGTCATCAGAACTTGGTAACTGATCGAGTGGTTCTAGGGAATGGGTAGGTGCAGTGGTCTTAGGTCCTAGGTTTTAGCACAGGAATTAGTTCAGTTTTGGACATGGTGAATTTCAGATGCTGGCAGGTTATCCAGATGGGGATTCTAAATGGTGATATTTGTGTGTGAAGCGTGGAAGGCAGACCTAGAATAGAGACCCAGGTTGATTGAGTGGATGGGAACAGAATACAGGGAAAGGTCAGCATTTGAAAGAAGTGTATAAAGGGAGAGGACATCACCGAGAGGCCTTGGAGAAGGAATGAGAACCAGGAAAGATGACACGGGACCCAAAGAAGCAGAGGAATAGGGGTGGGACAGCCAATGGCAAGTAAGTCAGCAGGGTCCCTAGGGATTAAAACTGGGAAATTACTCAGCTTGTACTTCTGAAATCAGTGGTGATGTTAGCAAAAGCAGTTTCTGTAGAGTTGTGAAGAAATGTGGGAGATGTTAATGGGATATTTAAAGACAATTGGGGGGAAAAAAAGTCAGTAGCTCAGGGAAGATATAAGAACCGAATGTAGCAGAAATCACAAGAAATTTTAAGAAAATAGAGAAATCACCAATGCTAATTACTGTAGAACAAAGAGTTTACAGAGCAGGAACTGAAAAAATGATTGCATAATCTGTGAACTCAGGACCTTGGTGCAGTAGACTGACAAGCAGTTGCTGTGACATGCCGCTACAGGGCACTTTGAGAGTTTGTGGGAAATGCGTGTGTGTTAAGAGAAGGTAACTTAGAAATGTTTATAAGATGGGGCCGACGCTGTGGCGCAGTGGGTTAACGCCCTGGCCTGAAGTGCTGGCATCCCATATGGGTGCCAGTTCGAGACCTGGCTGCTCCACTTTTGATCCAGCTCTCTGCTGTGGCCTGGGAAAGCAGTAGAAGATGGCCCAACTCCTTGGACCCCTGCACCCACGTGGGAGACCGGAAAGAAGCTCCTGGCTCCTGGCTTCAGATCAGCGCAGCTCTGGCCATTCTGGCCATCTGCGGAGTGAACCATCGGATGGAAGACACACTCTCTCTCTCTTTCTCTGCCTCTGCTCTCTCTGTGTAACTCTTTCAAATAAATAAATAAAATCTTTGAAGAAAAAAAAAAGAAATGTTTATAAGATGATGAAGAAAGGAATTATCAGAGGACAGTTAGAGGTCTGAGAGAGAAAGGAGATGTTTGATGGGAAAAGATCAAGAGAACAGATGTGGGAAATGAAATATCAGAAGTACAAATAGTGGGGCTGGCGCTATGGCGCAGCGGGTAAAGCCACCGTCTGCAGTGCCAGCATCCCACGTGGGCGCCGTTTTGAGTCCGCTTCTGATCCAGCTCCCTGCTAATGTGCCTGGGAAAGCAGGGCAGGGTGGCTCAAGTCCTTGGGCCCCTGCACCCATGTGGAAGACCCAGAAGAAGCTCCTAGTTCCTAGCTTCGGCTTGGCCCAGCCCAGCCGCAGTCATTGGGGCCATTTGAGGGTGAAATGGTGGATAGAAAGTCTCCCTCTCCCTCTTTCTCTCTTTGTAGCTCTGCCTTTCAAATAAATAAAAATAAAATCTTTTTAAAAATACAGGTAGTGAATTAGACTTAAAATGGGGTACTTAGTTGTCCAATGCACAAAGAGAAGCCAGTATCTATACATTTTATTGTTTTTAAGATTTATTTATTTACTTGAAAGACAATTACAGAGAGGAGAGGAAGAGACACAAAGAGGTCTTCTATCTGCTGGTTCACTCCCTGAATGGTTGCAATGGCTGGAGTTGGGCCAGACCAAAGCCAGGAGCCAGAAACTTCTTCAAGGTCTCCCACATTGGGCACAAGGGCCCAAACACTTGGGCCATTCTCTACTATTTTCTCAGGTGCATTAGCAGGGAGCTGATCAGAAGTGGAGCAGCCAGCAATCAAACTGGTGCCCGTATGGGATGCCAGCATTGCAGGTGGCGGCTCAACCCACAGTGCCAAAACGCCAGACCCTATCTATACATTGTAAGCATGGCTCTTTTGTATGTGTGTGTGTGTGTGTGTGTGGCAGGAATACAGTTAATTATTTAAGTATTTTACAGCTTGATTTGTATTCAATATCATTGAGTAAAGCATTTTTTCTTCTTCTAGGCACTGTCTGTGACATCTATGACTTTTTTTATCCTCGCACAAGCCCCTGAACCGTACATTGTTATCACAGGATTTGAAGTCACTATTATTTTATTTTTCATTATTTTATATATACTCAGACTTGATCGATTAATGAAATGTCTGTTTTGGCCTTTGCTTGTAAGTATTCAATTTCATCCTTAAAAATTGCGCGTTCCTACCATAGTGAGACATTTAATAAACTGTTCTTTGATTCTCTTGAGCCTTTAAGGTAATCTCCGATAGGCTGAAGGAAGATGAATTCTACCCATTGCTAATATACTTTTTTTTAAGATTTATTTATTTATTTGGAAGTCAGAGTTACACAGAGAGAGAAGGAAAGACAGAGACAGAGACAGAGAGGTCTTCCATCCGCTGGTTCACTCCTCAGTTGGCCACAATGGCCAGAGCTGTGCTGAGCCGAAGCCAGAAGCCAGGATCTTCTTCCAGGTCTCCCGCATGGGTGCAGGGGCCCAAGGACTTGGGCCATCCTCCACTGCTTTCCCAGGCCATAGCAGAGAGTTGGATGGGAAGTGGAGCAGCTGGGACTTGAACCAGTGTCTATATGGGATGCTGGCACTGCAGGCAGCAGCTTTACTCGCCACGTCACAGTGCCAGCCCCCCAATATACTTTTTATTGTCCTTTGGAGAGGTTTTCAGGAATCTAAGACAGCCACAGAGATAAATTCTCCTCTAAGTGCCATCTATCAGTAGATGTGGATGACCATTCTGTAGAATTCATTGAAGTGTAGAATCTCCTAAAATAATTTTTATTTAGTATCACATTAATATAGCATTCTTAATCTTTACTTCTCTTTTAAATGCATGTTGCTATGGCCTGTCAGTTGGGGAAGAGAGATAGAGGCAGGTACCAAGTTTCTGTTTTTGCATATCCTTGATCCCTAAATAGAAAATCTAAGTAGGGAGGCTGGATAGAGCATAATGTATCTTACTTGAAATCAATAACCATTAATGCCAAGTAATTCTAACTGACCTTAGGGAATCTACTTTGTAGCATACAGATGTCAACTTGACATTCTTAGAGCAGTAGAGTGCCCAGATTGTTCTGAAAATTCACTGGCAAAAAAGGCAGATTGATACATAAATCTTTTTTAAAAAAAAAAAAGGCAGATTGAAGATACTAGTTAAGGTGCACGTGGTCCTTCCGTCTGGACTAGTAGCTGGTTCCAGTAAACACCGAGTGAGCTCACTGCAGCCTCCTGTCTCCATAGGTCACCCTCCTGCGCCCCCCTCTGCCCTTCCCTTCTTTAGCTAGACTGGTAACTGCTGTAGCATCAAGAAAGCTATCACATTTGGGCTGTTCTTTTCCTTTAAACTATAACTCTCTGGAGCTACTTACATACGCTAATAATAAACTTGGAGCTCCACATTTAACAGAATACACAGAGCAGCCTGTGTGTAGCAAACTGAAAGTAGTCTCCAAACCTCTGAGGATCAAACTTGGCTGATCTTGCAATCCCTTAGAAACGGTGCTATATGGGCAACTCAGTTAGCACTCTTCTTATGAAACCCAGCTTGCTGTCTGACTGGAGTGAATGAAATTACTTACTAAATGCTAAGCATCTGCTAATCCCAGATTCTGTAACTGATTTTCTCTATCGCCTTGAAGCTGAACTAAACACCTAGCACAGAAGAAAGTTAACCTGGGAAAGCTAGTCTCAATGTTTCCTGCAAATGGGAATTGTTTTCTTCCTAAGTGTATCTAATCTTCCCTGGCCCCATTGAACTTATTCCTCTAATAACTTTTCTAAGTCATCAGGATTTTGAATTTTGGCATTTCTGTGTTAATTCTTTCCCGCCTATAGTTATCCGCCAACATAAGTAAGGTATTCCAGAATAAAGATGATTTATCATTTCCACACTGTACCCATTAAAATATGAACTGGGGGCTGGTGGTATGGCATAGCGACACAAACTGCTGCTTCTGACGTGAACATCTGATTATCAGGGTGGCAGTTCAAGTCCTGGCTGCTCCATTTCTGGTCTAGCTCCCTGCCAATGCTCCTTGGAAGGCAGCAGAAGATGGCCAAGTAGTCCATGTAGGAGACCAAGATGGAGTTCCTTGCTGCAGGCTTCAGCCTGACTCAAACCTGGCTGCTGTGGCCATTTTTAATAAATAGACCTTCCTAAAGCCACAGTTAGGAATGAAAATGCTTCATTTGGGGAAATTATTGAAAGAGCTGTATCAGAAATAGTAACACTGGGGCAGGTGTTTGATGCAAGTGTAAAGATGATACTTGGGATGCCTGATCCCATATCAGAGTGCTTGAGTCCTGGCTCCATTTCTGATTCCAACTTGTTGCTGATGCACACTCTGGGAGGCAGCAGGTGATAGTCCGAGTGGCTCGGCTGCTCCACCCACATGCGGCACCCAAACTGAGTTCCCTCTCTTTCTGTGTCTCTGTCTTTCAAATAAGATAACAATAAATAAAACATTTTTAAAAAGAAGCAACATAATCAGTTTGGGATAAAAAAAATTTACCATGCCTGTAAAAATTCTCTGTCAGGGTTATAAAAATATGAGCTCAGAGAGTTACACTGTCCAAAACAGAAACATCTTAAGTGTTAATTCAGGATAGCCATATAGATACTGCACTAAAAATGAGTAATCTCATATATGATGTTCATTTGCATGGAAAATTAATTTTATTTTTTATGAAATACTACAAATAAACTTAATGTTAACCTAAATACAATTACACTTAAAAATATAAAGGCACAGATAGAAAAAAAGAATACTGTACCCCAATTTTCCACTGTGAAAATTAAAAAGTGGAAAAAAAACTAAGATCTAGAATACTGATACTTATTTTTAGATTTTATAATTTACCTTAAATGGCTAATAAATGAGTATTAAAAAGTTAACACTGGGAAATCCAGTCTTCTCCATATAATTTAGAAAAGTGGTTTCTTCACATATGAGGTATGTGCACTGTCCCACATATAAATTCCTACTACACTTCCATTCACTGGAAATATCTACCTGCAGTATAAATAAGACAATGAACAAAAATATATATCTTGTTCCAATAACTTAGAATGCACAGAATAATACCTATTAGCATGATATTACATAAAATGTGTGTGGGGTTTCTCATGAAAATTACCACTTAAGTACATGCTATTTTAAAATTTAATAATTTACATTTTAATAACAGAGTTGTTTGACATTCAGTGTAGACTTCTCAACATTTTCTCTTATTAAAATTGAGTTTCGGGGGCCAGTGCTATGGCTTAGCAGGTTAAAGCACAAGCCTGCAGCACCAGCATCCCATATGGGCACTGGTTCGAGTCCCAGCTGCTCCACTTCCAATTCAGCTCCCTGCTAATGCACCTGGGAAAGCAGTGGATGATTGCCCAAGCATTGGGCCCCTGGCACCCATGTGGGAGACCTGGGAGACGCTCCTAGCACCACACTTTGGATCAGCTTAGCTCTGGCTGTTGCTGCCATTTGGGGAATAAACCAGCAGATGGAAGATCTCTCTCTCTCTACCTCTATCTCTACCTCTGTCTTTCAAATAAATTTTAAAAAATATATATTAAAAAAAAATTGAGCTTCTACCTAACAGATGATCTGCTTTCTTTCCTAACTAGATGATTTCTCACATCAACTATATGTTTAAATGAAAAAGAAATAAAAGCTTATATAGTTAAATGATTGGTATATTATAGGTAAAGAGGAGCACTAGGCATTGTCAGTATACACCAAATATTATAAAGGTATCATTTTGGTTTCCTGAAAGATAATGCCAAAAAATTTGTTTAAATGGAATTTTCAAAATCTTTGTAAAGCCAATCCAATTTTTTTTAAGTGTTACTTGGTGGTTTCATGTAAGGCTTACCTTCCTACTCTGTGTTTTTAGGATATTATCAACTCAATCGTAACAACATTATTCTTGGTCATTTTATCTGTTTTGGCACTGCTACCAGAAACCACGACATTTACGATCCTTGGAGGGGTAAGTGAGATCTTTCTGGTTTCTCTCTTGAGGTTTGATCAGAATACAAGTTTATGTTAAAAACAGACACAAGAGTAGAAAACTATGTTCATCCTTGAGGCTCCTGGGCCAGGATGCAGTATCTAGTGGCTTAATATTTTGTGTGTATGAATGCTTGCCTTGTGAAGGAGTATGATTTTGTGATAGAACTGGAGTTAGCCAAATAAAGAGGTCCCTACTTATTTCTTATATGTATATAGGGCTAGACCAGACTGAGAGAAGCTACTCGAAGCAGTTACAACACTTAGCTCTGAGAAACATGATGAATGAGCTGCAAAGCTCTCCCTTTTCAAAAAAAGCATATAGATTACATATCACTCGTTAAGAAGACAGGGCAGCACTACGGCAGGCAGAGCCGTCAGCCCATATGGGCACCAGATCCAGTCCCAGCTGCTCTGCTTCCAGACCAGCTCCCTGCTATGCACCTGGGAAAGCAGCAGACAATGGCCTGAGTACATGGGCCCCTACCACCCCTATGGGAGACACAGATGGAGTTCCAGCCTCCTGGCTTCGGCCTGGCCCAGGCCCAGCAGGTGAGGCCATTTAGGAAGCAAACCAAGGGATGGAAAATCTCTTGTCTCTCCCCCTCTCTCTGTAACTCTGCCTTTCAAAGAAATAAATCTTTTTTTAAAAAAGATGAGACAGACTATTCTAAACCCAGTTGTTTTTTGTTCACATGAAATATGGTGCAAAGTGTCTATGATGAGGGAATGTTGTTAGGAAGGATCATTTTGAACTTTTACGGAAGGCAAAGCAACTTCACCAGAATTTATCCTGGAAGGCAAGCCAAAATAAAAGAGGGAAGTAGTTTAGGTATGATTCCAGCTGAAATACTTCTGTATTCCTTACAGAAGATTCAAAATCATTTGGCTTTTCTAGGCTCTGAGTGAGAGGCTTGAGTTAGAACGTTCTCCTTCCTGTTTCCTTGTTTTCTGATAGTACAGGTCAGTTAGAACTGATTCAGAACCCATGGTTTTGGGGCCAGTATTATATCAGAGGGTTAAGCCACCACCTGTGACGCGGCGCCCTATATTAGAACCCTGGTTCAAGACCCTGCTACTCCATTTCCCATCCAGCTCCCTGCTAATGTGCCTGGGCAAGCAGCAGAAGGTGGCTCAGTGCTTGGGCCCCTGCACCCAGTGTGGAGAGCCAGATGGAGTTCTAGACTGCTGGCTTCTGCTTGGCCCAGACCCAGTCATTGCAGCCATTCGGGGAGTGAACCAGTAGACAGGAGATCTCTCTCGCTCTTCCTCTCTCCTTTTTCCTGTCTGTAACTGCCTTCCAAATAAATCTAAAAACATTTTTTCAAAAAAGAACAAAACATGGTTTTCATCTCCCTTAGGCCGCAAGCAACTGTGAGTGATGGAATTTTTCTAAAAGTGACTATAACAACTTCCCCCACTTGTTTTAAAGATACTCTTACTTGGTCGGCTCTGCGGCTCAATAGACTAATCCTCCGCCTGCGGCACCAGCACACCGGGTTCTAGTCCCGGTCGGGGCACCATGTTCTGTCCCGGTTGCTCCTCTTCCTGTCCAGCTCTCTGCTATGGCCCAGGAGTGCAGTGGAGGATGGCCCAAGCCCTTGGGCCCTGACCCACATGGGAGACCAGGAGAGGCACCTGGCTCCTGGCTTCAGATCAGCGCAGTGCGCCGGCCACAGCGGCCATTGAGGGGTGAACCAACGGAAAAAAGGAGGACCTTTCTCTCTGTCTCTCTCTCTCTCACTGTCCACTCTGCCTGTCAAAAAAAAAAAAAAAAAAAAAGATAATCTTACTCCTCTAGTCTGAAGAAAGAGGGAACAGGTGTAAGATTGACTTTCATTCACTTAATTTCTCATTCATTCATTTATGCATTCCATAAGTTACTTTGCAGCTATTTACAAAGTGGTCTCCAATACAGCAGCCACTAGGCACACTGTGTACTGGAAATGTGACTAGTCTAAATTGAGATAAACTATAAGTATAAAAGCAACATTGAATTTCAAAGATTTATTATCTGAAAAAAGAATGTGGAATATTTCTTTACTAACATTGTTAGATTAATGATATGTTAAATGATAATATTTTGGATATATTGGACTAAATAAAATATTAAAGTCTATTTCACTTTTTCTTTACTTTAATATTTTGTTTTATTTTCATTTTATTCAAAGGGCAAAGAGACAGAAAGAGATTTCCATCTGCTGGTTCACTCTAGAAGTGCCCACAACAGTCAGGGCGGCTAGGTCAGGAGCCGAGACCTCAATTTGGGTCTTCCACGTGTGTGGCAACAGCCCAAGAACTTGAGCCATCATCTGCTGCTTCCCACAGAAAGCTGGATTAGAAGTGGAGGAGCTATGACTCGAACCGAGGCACTCCAGTATGGGATGTGGGTATCCCAAGCAGAGTCTTAGTTGCTGTGTAAGGCCCACCCCTTTTCTTTTTAATGTGGCTCTGAGACAACCTTAAATTAATTAGGTGGCTTACATGGTGACACACATGTTTCTTTTGGACAGCACTGGACTAGAGCGTGAGCCCTATCTTCCGGTTGCTTAGAGCCTAGCACAGGAGACAGAGTGCAGACAGCGGTGTAGAAGCTGTTGACAGGGGGACAGGGAGCACAGGAAAAAGGAAGCAGCTACCTCTCTCTGATAGCAAAATTGCAATTTGCAAGAAGAAGGGAGAAGAAAGAACTGTGGGAGGAAACAGCAGCGTGGAGAAATGCCAGAACCCCAGAAGGATTGATGGAGGGAAGAATCGACCCTGCTCAGAAGCTAGGAGGTGGGGGGAAAGGAGGTTGTAGGAATCCAGGAAGCCGACCACGTGGCACACAAGTTCTGGTCCCCTGCAAGCCCCCTGTGTTCTAGTCCGTTGCCTTTCATTCAGATTTCTTTCCCCAAGGCTTGTTTAGAATCCCACTTCTAAAGCAGATGCAGCCCAGCCTTGGAGAGTCCCCGCTGGCTAATCTTGTCACCCTGTAGCCCAGAGCACACCACACACGCGGTATGCTCCAGATGCCCGGTGCGTCTCCAGAGCCTTGATCATAGCAACCAGGCCTGTGATCGCATCCTGAGCGGCTGTTAACCTTGATCTTCTCTCCAGTACAGCCCTGCAACAGGGAATCAAACAGTGACACTGGGGTAGAAATGATGGTTGGTAACCGAGTCTCCTCAGTAGGGCTTAAAAGAGCACATGCAGGAGTGGGTGAAGAGGTAAGAGAGGGCCCGCCGCTGTGGCGCGGCAGGTAAGGCCGCCGCCTGCAGCACTGGCATCCCATGTGGGCGCCGTGTCCTGGCTGCTCCATTTCTGATCCAGCTCGTGCTAATGGCCTGGGAAAAGCATCAGAAGATGTCCCAAGTGTGGGAGACCCGGATGAAACTCCAGGCTCCTGGCTCCTTGCCCAGCCCTGGCCATTGCAGCCATCTGGGGGGAAAACCAGCAGATGGAAGATACACCCCCCGTGTGTGTGTGTGTGTGTGTGTGTGTTTCTGCCTCTCCACAACACTCTCGGATAAATAAAAAAAGAGGTAAAGACATGTACTGGGAATCCACTATCAGCTCTGCTAACTTCAGCTTCCTGTTCATAGTCCATAAGGTGTTGGGGACTTCGGCAGAGGATCAGAGGAGCCGGTGGGCAGACCATTGACAATTTGTGTTCACCAGCGCTAGGGGCCAAAGCTGCGGTGACACTGTGTCTTCTGTCTGCAGGTGTTCGCGCTCATAACGGCAGTGTTCTGTATTGCCGATGGTGCCCTCATTTACCGGAAGCTTCTGTTTAATCCAAGCGGTCCTTATCAGAAAAAGCCTGCTCACGACAAAGAAGAAGAAGATTTGTAATTGTTTTACTCTTTTTTAGTTAATAACAAGAATTAAACCTATTTCCTTATGTTTCCACAACATTTTCCATAGTTGTTCTCATTCTAATCTCAGTGTGGAAGCTGGAGCAAGATTTCCAGATTCTGCACTGGCGTCTGTAACTTTCACGGGAATACTGGCAGAGCGGGCTGGGGTCGGGTTTTGTAGCTCCGGGGCCTGGAAGGCAGGGCAGAGCGCCCCAGACGGTCCGCAGAGATCCTTGCTCGCTGGCTGGTTTCAGCCCGGAGGCGGAGGCGTGGATAAACCTGGGGTCGCCGGGCGGGGCGGCGAGGGGGGCAGCTGCAGGGCTTCGCTTGCCCGCGGGTCAGCAAGAGCGGGATGCGCGCGAGGGCCAGGCAGCCAGCGGCCGTTGGCGTGCAGCGCTGGTGTCCAGGCGAGAGCTGGCCACCCCGGCTGGGGCCGGCCTGACACGACCAGGTCCAGCGGCCCACCATGGATCCTGAAAATACCAAACCCGGGCTGTCTAGTTCGTCAGCACGCCAGGCGCAGCCCGCACGCCCAGCACAGCCCACGCCGCTGGTGGGTGCGGCTCATCCGACGACGAAAGAGGCAGCCTCCGGTATGCCCAGGCGCTCATTCGCCGTGCACCACAAAGCCTCCGAGCACACTCCACATTCGGTGCCCTCCGCCGCCCTGCATCCGGTCCCTTCAGCTCCTTCCGCGACCTCGGTGCCTGCCACGCCCCCAGCGCCTGCTCGACCCGGTAAGGGCCCTGCAAAGTCAAAGACGCCCAGGGAGAGCATGTACTTGCTGCTCGCTGGGCCCCCGGGACCCAAGAAGGCAGAGGTGAAGAAGGCTATCCAGAAGCGTGCGAAGGGCCGGGCCAAAGTGCCACACAAGTTCAGGGACAGCGTCAAGAACTTCTTCTTCTCGCCCACTGGAATGCTGAAGATCCTGAGAATGGTGAGCAGAAAGCGGGCGACCTGGCCGGGTGGGCGCGGGCGGCGCTGGCCGGTGGCCTCCGGGACGCCATGCGAACCTTTGCCAGGCGCTCACCCCAAAACCGCACTGCTAGATTTGGCCTCCTCCTCCTTTAATATTTCTCAGATTTCCTCTCACAAGGAGAAAAAGACAACAATGACGATAGCAGAATTTTGTAACTTAGCAAACAAAAAAAATTGGTCATTACAAGAGATGTCGTTTGAAAGCCCTGTTAAATTGGTAAATCACTGGTTAATGCAATCAGGAGAAGGAAAGGGGAGAAAGAGAGGACATAGACGAGTATTTAAAGTTGGAAAACAATCACAAATATTGAAGAAACAGAAAGGAACTACAAGAACACTTTGCAAAACAAAGAGATATGATTCATTGGATGCAGTATTTTCTTTTCCAGGAAAATATGTAACCAAAACTAATCCCAGAATAAAGAAAAATCAAAGCAGACCATGTAAACACAGAAGATGACAGTGTTGTCAAATGAACCTCTTTCAAAAATGTACCAGGGCAGGCATCATGGCATAGTGGGGCAAGCTGTACTTGGGACAGAGGGAATGGCTTAGAGTCCTGGCTGCTCCACTTCAGATGCAGCTTCCTGCTGATGCACCCTGGGGGCAGAGGATGATGGCTCAAGTGCTTGGACCCCTGCTGCCCCTGTGGGAGATCTTGGTGGAGTTCCTGGCTCCTGACGTCAGCCTGGCCCAGCCCTTGCTGTTACAGATATTGGGAAAGTGAACGAGCGAGTGAGTGGAAGATCTCGCTCTCTGTGTCACTCTGCCTTTCAAGTAGATGAAAATAAACAAAGATGTAAAAACAAAAAATGTATTAGGTAGGCCCAGACTTTTTCACAGGTTACCTGTTTCAATCCTTTTAGGGGATGTAACTTTTATTTTAAGATTTATTTATTTATTTACTTGCGAGGCAAAGTTATGAACAGAGAGAGAGACAGAGATCTTCTGTCCACCAATTCATTCCCCAAATGGCCACAGTGACTGGAGCTGAGCCAGTCAGAGCCAGGAGGTTCTTCTGGGTCTCCGACATGGGTGCAGGAGCCCAAACACTTGAGCTATTAGCAGGGAGCTGGATAGGAAGTAGAGTTGCCGGGACTCGAGCAGCACCACAGGCAGAGGCTTAACCTGTGTTCCATGTTGCCAGCCCTGGATGCAGCTCTCATGCTACTCAAACTTTGTCACAGAATAGAGAAAGCGCTATTTTTACAAAGTCAGTACTGTAGCACTGATATCAAAATCTAACCAAGTTCAGAAAAACAAAATGCAATACAGATCTCATTTCTACCAAAGCAAAATATTAGTACATTAGCAGAAAATACTCATCAGTACTTTTAATTTATATACTGCAAGGTAGAAAGATAAAGATTCAATATTAAGACTCAAAATAATCTGCTATATTACAAAGAGAAAACAATCGTGAGATTATGTCACACAAGGTAAATGTGACAGAATTCAGCATTCATGTCTTATTGCCAAAAAGGAGAAGGAGAAAGAAAGGGAAGATGAGTAAAATAGGAATACATAGACATTTTCATTGACATTATGAAAATAAACATTTCAGGGGACCAGCCTTGTGGTGCAGTAGATAAAGCCGCCGCCTGCAATGCCAGCATCCCATGCAGGTGCAGTTCATGTCTCGGCTCCTGCACTTCCCATCCAGCTCCCTGCCAATGCCCTGGGGAAAGCAGCGGGCCGTGGACACAAGTGCTTGGGCCCCTGCACCCGTGTGGGAAACCCAGAAGAAGCTCCTGGCTCCTGGCTTCAGCCTGGCCATTGGGCCATTGTGAGAATGAACCAGCAGATAGCTTGCTCTCTCTCTCTCTCTCTCTCTCTCTCTCTCTGTATTTCCCTCTCTCTGTAACTCTGACTTACAAACAAATAAATCTTTAAAATAAATAAGAAAAAATAAACAGTTCAAACCAAAAGTCAGCATGATATTTCATTAAACATCAGACGTACTCTCACTTAAATGAAGGGGAAAGTGCTGCCCATCAGCCAAAATGCTACCCAGTGTTTTTCTGAAGCCACTAGTTATCACAGTTAGGAAAAGGAGGCAAGTACATTTGAAAAGATGCACTGTATATCATTTATTTGAGCTGAAATGACTGTATGATTAAGAAACCCCAAAATAATTGGGAAACTATACAAGATAATGTAGGTAGGGGACTCATTATTGAGATAACAAATAATCTACAAGCTTTCCTATAGAGAAATAACCACTTACAATATAAGAAAATATTTCTCTTTACAACTGTAATCAAAATGATCAGATACCTGAGAGTCACTGAAATAAAACACCCATATGAAGATGTTTACTAAAAATTACAATAACTAGAAGACATACTTCATTCTCAAGTAGCAGGACTATATTTCATGATCTTTACAAATTGTAAGTTGAGTAAGGTTCCAATTAAAACACCAGCAGGTCAAGTTTGGGGAAATTGACCAGGACAGCCATGGGAGATGAGGAAGATTAGGCCAAACAACACCACAATATAAAGCAAATTGGCAATAATTTGTAGTAAAGTACTGGAGAAGAAATTGGCAACTTAGTGGGGAAGAATAGTCTCAAATGAGACCCAAATACATCTAAGGACTGACTATGCAATAGAGGATGGGTTTCAGACCAATGGAGAAAATCCTGTCATTTCCCAAGAAATGTTGAGATAATCATCAGTGGTTTAGAGAGAAAGAGAACAGGCTCGCCCTCTCTCTTCCTGTCAAAGTTAATTTGTATTTATGTTTATATATATGTATATATACACATATATTTCCAGAGTAAAATATAAACTAATAGTTGTTACTTTAAGAGAGAACAGGGTTGGATTAGGAGAGAAGAAAGAAGTTAACAAATTTCTGTCCTTATATGCATTTTTGCATGTTTCATTTTTTGCAAGTATTATGATTTTTGCATGTATTATTTCTTAAAAATAGGAGACATTTTTCACAATAAAATGTGTGTGAAAAGCAATACCGGCAGTTGCAATATATTCAGGTTTACATGCTGACGAGTGTATGTTTCCTGTGAAGCCGCCACGTGCGTTCAACCGAATCCTGTCTCTTTTGTTGCAGAGCCTTATCGTGGCAGCAGCAGTTTGTTTCCTCAGCGCCCGTGCCCCTGAGTCTTATATCGCAGTCACCATTCTGGAGGCCTGCATCGTCGTTTTCTTTATTCTAATATATCTGCTAGCCCTTCAACACTTGCTGACTTACATACATTGGCCCTTACTTGTAAGTGATCATTTTCATAATTCACATATAAGCTTTGCCCTCAGCCCCAGAGTAAGGATTCACCTTCACAGAAGACGGCAGGGCTATCTCTCTAGACAGAGGACGTAGCTGAGCTGTGACTGTGTTGCCCTGGTCCCAGGAGAGAAACCGACCGGGTACCAGAAAGATGCCTGGGACCCTTCTGGCTGTATACAGCCAACAGCACAATGCACATGCCTGCTTCCTGCCCAGACTATGAAACCCATCTCATATTGCTCTGAACACGTGGTGCTTTTCGGCTTGGCCTAACAAAACTTTAAATTAGTAGATTCAGTGGATTAGCATATTCCTTACCCATTGCTTGTTAAAAAAAAACAAAACAAAACAAAACAAAAAAAAACCATAGGCCTTGACTTTCCAAGCAGCACGCTCTCTCAAACACATTACCAATGTCCCCACCTGCCCCAAATGTAGGTGTCGCCCTGACGGCCGCAGACCTCTGCGTATACCCTGAAAGACGGTAGGAGTCAACCCTTTGTGGGGAGTCAGAGTCCGTACTCAAGGGTGTGCCATGTGCTGGACGATCGAGGAAAGGCCATTGCATGAGCCCCTTTCGGGAGCTCTTTCCAAACTTGGACATTCTTTCCCAGCTGAGAAAGTCCTGAAGCTGGTGCGTTAGCTCTCACGCAAGAGAGCAGTCCAGTTTTACCAGAGGCAGATGTGGGCCCAGTGCCTGGCCCTGCCACCTTACAGGCCATGTGGCCTGTGGACGCAGTTACCCTACCTGGGAAACGCACAGGAGGGAGAGTGTGATGCCGACGGCTTAGTGGGTTTTCCATAACATTTAAGTGTGTATGATGCCAATGGCACAATGCTTGGCGCAATGTAAATGGCCAATGCAAGGTGTCCAAAATGCAAAGCAACCCTCAGACCTCAGAAGGTCATTGGGTGCTTTTGCCATCTGTCTTGTGCAGTGGACCCTCCTACCACAGAGTTCAGGCCTCTTCCACAGCCACTTGTTAATGTACATTTGTCTAAGCATAAAGTAGGCGTGGTTGCTATTGAGCTAAACCCCAAATGTATGTTCTTCAAATGCACGAGGGATTTTTCTGAAAAGGCTCCTGAGCTCTCTCTGTCCCACAGAGTGCCAGACCACAGGAGCAGACAAAGCGAAGTATGAGCAGCTTTATTGGACATAAGGAAGACCCTGTTAGTTATGGAGAGCTATGACCATGGAGAGGTTGCTAAAGGGAAACTCAGATCTCCATGGCAGTGTTCAAGAAGGGAAGTAGCCATCCGTGAGCACGTGGCACTGTCGGGCATCCTCCCACGTTACGCTGAGTCCTCACAGCCACCAGTGAGCAGGCGTCGTCCCGCCCCTCAGGAAACAGGAATACGGGATGAAGAGACCCGGGGCCATGGTTGTGTGTGGGTGCATTAAGGCTGGGGTTGGAGCCCAGGTCTGTCTGGATTCCGAAGTCCAGCGCCTTTCCAGACTTCATACACAATTGCTTGTGATGGTTTCCCTGTCCCCATTCTCTCTAGACTTCCCTTAAGGTGGGAACTCAGTGAGCCTACACCTTTATGTCCTCATAAATGTTCTCTCCGTGTCTTCTGCTTCCTCATGGCTTTCTTAAACTGAGGTAAAGTGGGTATCCTGACAGGTTGGTGACGGGGTAGGGACTCCACAACACTGAGCTGTGGGCAGGTGCACCAGAGCCCTCTGAGTAAAGGCCTCCCTGCTGGAGATGTGGGCAGGACTGCAAGGCACCAGACTTTGCTGTAGGGACCAGGGGCGACGTCCAAGAACTATCCCAGGAAGAGGCAAGAGCTAGGGCCTCCTGAGCATGACCCATGAGCCTCCAGGCCCAGCTGTAGAGTTAGAAGCCTTTGAACAACCGCGCTGAGGCCACCCCTCCTGGCTCTGACTGTCGTCAGTGAGAGCACCCTCCTTTCTTTGCATGGTCCAGGGAGCCTAGAGTGTGATTCAGGCCGCTGCCTTTTTCTTGCTACTGTCCTCCAGGATGTGGGCCAGTGGCCAGCACGGCACGTGGATGGATATGCCTAGAGAGCACCCAGGAGAAATTTTGTCTTACCAAGAAGGCTGCCCAGTTACTTTGATGTTCAACTAACTAGTGGTACATATGCTGAGCAACCAGAGTTAGATGATGGATTATCTAGTTAACATGGATGTTTTTGAAAAACACAAAACATCAAATCAGGACCCAAATCCCACCCTCTTCTCCTGTCCAGCCCCTTCCTTCTAACCTGGAATTCCGGATTCCATGAGATGAAGGACATGCACGTATCTGACTGTCAGAGGGGCAAGTAGCTACCCCATGGTGGTAGCTTGTCCAGGAGGAAATGTGTTGGCTTAGTGACAACATCAGTGCCAGGAGGCGACGATGACTTAGCACTTTAGGTGGTAGGTAGCCTTGAAGTCATACGAGCATCAAAGAGCAGGAGCCACTTAGGACCAGGTCACAGGGTGAGTACAGGAAGCCATGGAACACACGGCTTGTTCCAACTGGAACTGCTTTTGGGATCTCCCGTGCTTGAAATCCTGCCCGCAGGCTAGAGTCCAGCATTCCTAGCTGCCGCTTCCTTTCAGCTGGGAAAGATTGTTTGATTCCCAGGAGATAAAGGATTAAGATGGGGCTGGTCATCTACTAGTTAAAGTGATCAGTTTAAGTTCATAATTGATCATAAAGATAGGATTAAGTGTCAAAGGGATCACATAAATAAGACCAGTGTCTGCTAATAATAATTGATAGAATTAAAAAGGAGAGAACAATCCAACATGGGAAGCGGGATACACAGCAGACTCATAGAATGGCAAATGCCCTAAACAGCACTCTGGCCTCAGAATCAGTCCTTAAGGCATTTGGATCCAGCTAAAAAGCCCATGAGAGTTTCTCAGGCACGGAAAGCCAAGACACTTGAAAAAAAAAATGACCTAAATGATAGATCTATGTGAGTGTGATCCCAGTGGAAAGAACAGGCCATCAAAGAAAGAGGTACTTTTTTCTGAGTGGAGGAGAGAACTTCCACTTGATTATGGCCTTGTCTAAATAAGGTCTGAGTTTGTGAACTCAAGAGGCTTCCATAGCCTTGGCAGCTCATGACAAGAGCCTCGGGTGATTACTGACGCCATAAATAAGAGTGTCAATTGTTAAATCAACAACAGGAGTCACTGTGCACTTACTACCCATGTAAGATCTCTGTCCTTAATGTGTTATACTGTGAGAATTAACAGTAAAACTAGTCTTCAAACAGTACTTTATACTTTGTGTGTCTGTGTGGGTGCAAACTGTTGAAATCTTTACTTAGTATATACTAAGTTGATCTTCTGTATATAAAGATAATTAAAAATGAATCTTGACTAAGAATGGGATGGGAGAGGGAGTAGGAGATGGGATGGTTTGCAGGTGAGATGGTGGTTGTGGGGGTGGGGGGGAACCACTATAATCCAGAAGTTATACTTTGGAAATTTATATGTATTAAATAAAAGTTTTCTAAAAAACAAAAAGATAAGGGCCAGTGCTGTGGTTTAGTAGGTTAAGCGTCAGCCTCAGCACTGGCATCTTGTATGGGCACTTGTTTGAGTCCCAGCTGCTCCATTTCCAGTCCAGCTCCCTGCCCGGAGAGGCACTAGAGTATGGCCCACATACTTGAGTCCCTGCACCTGCAAGGGAGACCCAGAGGAAGCTCCTGTATCCTGGCTTCGGATCAGCCCAGCTCCAGCAATTGCTGCCATTTAGGGAGTGAACCAGCAGATGGAAGACCTCCCTCTCTGTCTCTCTCTCTGTAACTCTGCCTCTCGAGTAAATAATTAATGATTTGGATAAGGAGTACTGATTTTAAACGTTGATTTCTAACTTAAAGGCTCATACAAGGATAGAGTTCCTTATTTCCCTATGCCCACACTGGTTGGGCAAACAGCTGAGGGTGATGGGTGGCACCAAGGAGGCAGAAAGTCGCACCCATCAGGGCTCCGCAGCTTCAAAGAGTACTGACTGCAGACACAGGGGCCCAGTGAGGTCTGTGGGCCCTGGGACCGTGTTTTGTCAGGGCCTCCTGGGCGCCAGGCACCCTGACACGGGGCAGGGCGGGGAGCCCTTCTTTTCAGCGTGAGTCTGCAGCTTCCCTCAGCGCACCTGCGGGGGTCACTGTCTGCATCCCCAGGGCTGGCTTGACTCCCTCACTCCAGTGTCGGCGGTGTGCTCAAGAAAAGTGGGAACTACGGTTCTTGTCTCTGAGCAGCCCACATTTTAAATAAACACTTCTCCATTGTAAAAAGGATCCTCATGATCAGAGAAATTCTTAGGCGCCACAGCTCACTTGGCTAATCCTCCGCCTGCGGCGCTGGCACCCCGGGGTTCTAGTCCCGGTTGGGGTGCCAGATTCTGTCCCGGTTGCTCCTCTTTCAGTCCAGCTCTCTGCTGTGGCCTGGGAAGGCAGTGGAGGATGGCTCAAGTGCTTGGGCCCTGCACCCACATGGGAGACCAGAAGGAAGCACCTGGCTCCTGGCTTCGGATCGATGCAGCTCCTGCCGTTGTGGCCATTTTGGGGTTTAACCGACAGAAGGAAGACCTTTCTCTCTGTCTCTCTCACTGTCTAACTCTGCCTGTCAAAAAATAAATAAATAAATTTAAAACTAAAACTGTACAGCAGAGATGATTCTGAAATGATCAACAATGTCTTTACATTTTTTAAAGACTTATTTATGGGCCAGCCTGAGGCACAGCAGGTAAAGCTGCTGTCTGCAGTGCCAGCATCCCATATGGGCGCCTGTTCAAATCCTGGCTGCTCTACTTCTGATCGAGCTCTCTACTGTGGCCTGGGAAAGCAGGAGAAGACGGTCCAAGCCCTTGGGTCCCTGCACCTGCTTTTGAGACCTGGAAAAGGCTCCTGGATCCTGGCTTCGGATCGGCCCAGTTCTGGCCATTGCTGCCATTTGGGGAGTGAACCTGCAGATGGAAGACTCTCTCTCTCTCTGCCTCTGCATCTCTGTAACTCTGCCTTTCAAACAAATAAATAAATCTTTAAAAAAAGGGGGGGGGAAGGAAACCTTTCCAACAAAGTATTGGAACAATTAGATAGGCAAATAAATAAATACAACTTGATCCGTAACTCAAAATGGGTCATAAACTTAAGTATATTATATAAAGATATAAAACCTCTGGAAGAATTCATAGAAGAAAATTTTTGTGAACCTTTGAGTTAGGCAAAGATTTCTTGGATATAACCCAGCAATTAAAAAAAAAAAAAAGAAGAAGAAGAAGAGTTATTTATTTAAAAGAGTTACAGAGAGGAAGTCACAAACGTCCAGGGCTGGGTCGGCCCAACGCCAGGAGCCAGGAGCTTCTTCCAGGTCTCCCACATGAGTGCAGGGGCCCACGCGTTCAGGTTATCTTCAGCTGTCTTCTCAGGCACATTAGCAGGGATCTGGATCAGAAGTGGAGCAGCCAGGACTCGAACCAGAGCTCTGATGTAGAATGCAGCAAACAGCAGCTTAACCCACTGCACCACAACGCTGGCCCCCAAAGCTTTTTTTTTTTTTTAACAGGCAGAGTGGACAAGGAAAGAGAGACAGAGAGAAAGGTCTTCCTTTGCAGGCCGGCGCTGTGGCTCTGCTATGGCCCAGGAAGGCAGTGGAGGATGGCCAGAGTGCTTGGGCCCTGCACCCCATGGGAGACCAGGAGAAGCACCTGGCTCCTGGCTTCGGATCAGCGCGGTGTGCCACCCGCAGCGCACTAGCCGCGGCGGCCATTGGAGGGTGAACCAATGGAAAAAAGAAAGACCTTTCTCTCTGTCTCTCTCACTGTCCACTCTGCCTGTCAAAGAAAAGGAAAAAAAAAAAAAAGAAAGGCCGGCGCCGCGGCTCACTAGGCTAATCCTCCGCCTAGCGGCGCCGGCACACCGGGTTCTAGTCCCGGTCGGGGCGCCGGATTCTGTCCCGGTTGCCCCTCTTCCAGGCCAGCTCTCTGCTGTGGCCAGGGAGTGCAGTGGAGGATGGCCCAGGTGCTTGGGCCCTGCACCCCATGGGAGACCAGGAAAAGCACCTGGCTCCTGGCTCCTGCCATCGGATCAGCACGGTGCGCCGGCCGCGGCAGCCATTGGAGGGTGAACCAACGGCAAAGGAAGACCTTTCTCTCTGTCTCTCTCTCTCACTGTCCACTCTGCCTGTCAAAAAAAAAAAAAAAAAGAAAGAAAGAAAGAAAGAAAGGTCTTCCTTTTGCCGTTGGTTCACCCTCCAATGGCCGCCGCTGCCGATGCACTGCGCTGATCCAAAGGCAGGAGCCAGGTGCTTCTCCTGGTCTTCCAGTCCCCTGGAAGAGGGGTAACCGGGACAGAATCTGGTGCCCCCACTGGGACTAGAACCTGGTGTGCCAGCACCGCAGGCGGAGGATTAGCCTATTGAGCCTCGGCGCTGGCCAGCTTGTTCATTTTTAATTTTAAAAGTTGGGGCCGGCGCTGTGGTCCACTTGGTTAATCCTCCGCCTTCGGCACCAGATTCCCATATGGGCACTGGGTTCTAGTCTTGGTCGCTCCTCTTCCAGTCCAGCTCTCTGCTGTGGCCCAGGAAGGCAGTGGAGGATGGCCCAAGTGCTTGGGTGCCTGCACTCGCGTGGGAGACCAGGAGAAGCACTTGGCTCCTGGCTTCAGATCAGCATAGCTCCAGCCATAGTAACCATTTAGGGGTGAACCAACAGAAGGAAGACCTTTCTCTCTGTCTCTCCCTCTCACTGTCTCTAACTCTACCTGTCAAATAAATAAATAAAAAATCTAAAAAAAAAAAAGTTTACACTCCACTTCTTAGCTTCTCTGAGTCCTCCGGCGCTAAGTTTCCTGCAAAGCTGCCTCAGTCCGCTCTGGGCCTACAGAATCCGGCAGGGACCGACTTCCAACTCTCACCAGCCCTGCTCTGAGCCTCCACGCACAGTTCGCTGTCACCTACAGTAGACGCTGGTGCTTTTCCAAGAGGCAAGTCACGTGCCATGCCCTGCCCACCTCATCAGGAAGAATGCGGTTTAGTCCGCAGAAAGCACATCTCACTGTGTAGACATGAATGTCCGTTTTGTGCCCTCCCACAGTCCTCTGAGGCACATTACCAGATACGCCATTCAATCCTCAGGTCAGTCCAGTGAGGACCAGTCATTAGCCTCATAGTGAGAGTCAGCAAGTCGGCAGAGGGTGATAAAACACGCCCAGCTCACGCCTCCAGCAGGGCCGTGCCAGAGTGCAGCAGCAAAGACAGCCTCAGCGGATTTGCTCTACAGCATCACGGCCCCCAGACCCATCCCACAGAAAATTCCCAAGCTGCACTGGGTGCTGCTCTCCTCCTAGTCTGGGTGTCCTCGATGGGAGTCAGCGTGAGTTAAATTCTGCCTTTATTCCTTAGCAGTTACTCGATCTTAAGCAACTTACTAAGCCTAAGTCTCTAGTATGTCTTCTGAAAAATGGGGGTTAGAGCAATACTGATTCGGAGGCCTGCTTGGTGAGAGTTCGGTGAGATAACGGGAAAACGCTGGACACGATGGCGCTCCGTTACACCTGTGCACCCTGTTTGGCAGTGCTGCTTGCCATGTTTGGGCCAGTGTGCCAGACAGGCTGCCGCTACCAAGTCAGGCCGTGGGGAATGAAAGTTTTCAAATTGGGTACCTGAGCCTTCATGTGGTCACGTCATCCTCGGTGTGGGCCCCTCCCTCACACTGGTCACTGAAGCCGAGGAGTCATTCTTGCCCTGCTGTGGAAGCTCAGCTTTGCTCACTCGGGCTGTGCCCCACCACTCATCCTCCTCCTTTATTGCAGCCCGCAAAGAAGCAGGCTGGGCTAGCCGGTGAAGAGCCTGGCCCTGAGATCCGACTGAATGGAGGACACCAAGAATCTACATGTCCGGGCAGACACGAGTCTGGCCATGTCTGAGAAAACAGACCTCAGTGGGGCCCCATTCACTCCAGGGGTGCAGGCCCGCCGCTCGGCTGGGTCCGATGCTTCTGGGGACACGTGAACGCACAGAATAAAGACAACCCAACCTCCAGAGCCCTGGTTTTACTTACAGATCTGGAAGTGGAATTAAGTCAGTAACACGCTCCTCTAAAATTTCACTTTTACATTAAAACAAGTGTGTTATGGAATAGAGTGCATAATTTACACTAATTAATACAGGACTTCAAGAAAATCCTGTTTATGGAGGACCATTTTGGGCAAGGCCTCTAGACTACTGCTTCGTTTTGTTTTTTGGCTTTTGATTTTTTCTTTTTTTTTTTTATTATTTATTTGACAAATAGAGTTAGTGAGAGAGACAGAGAGAAAGGTCTTCCTTCTGTCGGTTAAACCCCAAAATGGCCACAACGGCAGGAGCTGCGTCGATCCGAAGCCAGGAGCCAGGTGCTTCTCCTGGTCTCCCATGCGGATGCAGGGCCCAGGCACTTGGTCCATCCTCCACTGCCTTCCCGGGCCACAGCAGAGAGCTGGCCTGGAAGAGGAGCAACCGGGACAGAATCCGGCGCCCCAACCGGGACTAGAACCCGGCGCCCATATGGGATGCCAGCACCGCAGACAGAGGATTAACCAAGTGAGCCACGGCGCCGGCCCAAAATTTTTTTTTTCATGCTCATTTCCTTGTGCCTTTTAAGGAACATTTACTGGAAAATTTAGCAACTTTTTTTAAAAATGACATTCTTTAAACCTATTTCTGCAGACAAACCCAAGTGTCTGGAAGATATAAGAATTATGCTACTGAGGGTTCCTCTTACTCAAAGGGAAAGTTTTTTAAAGGCACCCATCCTTACCTGGGTAAGTGACTAAATATTTTATGAAATTACATGTTCTTGTGAAGTTGACAGTTTTCATTTCTACATTACAGGATCTTATCAACAGTATCATTTCGGCTCTGTTCCTTTTAATAGTTGGCCTCTTAGTGATGGAAGAAAAGGACAGAAGGAATTTGTTATTTATTGGAGGGGTAAGTAGAGGCCTCTACGACTCTCTCTAAGCTCAGGATTCCAAGACTTTGGAAAGGGAAACTGGCAAACCATCATCTGTCATTAACAGAACAAACTCCCTGCAGCGGAGTAGGGGACACCTTAGCTGGGGCAAGCCCTCCGTGGGACAAGGTCATTCAGCAGCCAGGATTAGGTGATCGTAAACTGAAGCACCCAAAGCTGGCAAAAGCTGTAGACTGCTGGGGAGCACCTGGCCTCACAGGCCCCCGGCCCCTCCCTGCCAATTCAGCAACCAAGCTTTTCACTGCCAAGGGTTCCTCACCTTGGTCTCCATCGATTGTTACCTGGTGGGCAGCAGCACTGCCAACGCTCCCCCTACTTACATTTCTCTGCTCCCCCACACACATTCCTCTCCTACCCCCTACCCGGGTCTCCCCACCCTCCAAGGCCGGGACACTTGGGTTTCCTTTCACGCCTCTGCAAGTGGGTTCTTGGAGCCCGGCGCCTGACCCCTCCCCTTGACAGAGTCCAACATCTTGAACCTCTTGAGCTTCAGCTCTGCCCCCTCTCCCAGCAACGGCAGAGGTCTCGGCCACACGAGGGCCCCCCAAGGTCCCAGACCAGCGCTGAGGTCTTCTCGTCCTAGTACAGCCCGTGAGGACGCCCTCCCGCCCTTGCAAACGTAACCCAAGACTTCTCTCCCGCTGAGAGCCCCTCTCCGCTCCCTGCCTGCACCTCGGGCCTCCAGGGGCAGGACCCCTCCCTCCAACGCTTGGGGCGTCCTACGAGGCCGCTGCCGGCCGCAAACCCGCATCCCCAGCCCTTTTCTTGGGGCAAGGCCGAATGCGCTCGCGCAGCTACCTGGGCAAACACCAAAGTGGAGTGGAAGGTCAGAAGGAACCGGGGGCCACTCGAAGGGCCTAGGGGGGATGGGGACGGGGCCGAGGCTCGGCGTGGGGCTGCGGAGTCACCCCTCCCTGCCTGCGCGCGGCCCTGTGTCCTGCAGACCCTGTGTCTCGTGGCGGCAGCCCTGTGTTTAATTGATGCGGTGCTGATCACCAAGAAGACGAGGGACAACATAAAAAGGCTCCTGGCGGACAACGAGGAGTCCAAGCACACGGTCAGGGCGCCTCTGCCCAGGCACAAGCGCGGGACGGCGCGGCGGGAGGCCCCGCAGCGCTAGCGGGGACCCGGCGGGTCTGCGGTCGCCTGCCCGAGACCCTAAAAGCCGGGATGCTCGGTCAGGAACACTGCTGTCTCCTCGTGTGGCCTTGGGTAGAGTCGACTTCCATTCTCCTGCGTCCCCGGAGCTCCGACGCCACCTACGGTTCCAGCCGACCGTACTGCGAGGCGGGAGGCCGCTTCCGAGGCCTCGCCAGGCCCGCGAGGGAGCTCAGCATCGGGCTGGGAGCCGCGTGTTGGACGCGGAGGCCGGGCTCCTGCGCGGTGGGTGGGCGGCTGGACCGCGCTGCCCCGCGCGGCGAAGTGGCCACGCGCGCGGCGGGCGCAGGCGTTGGCATTCGCGGCCCCTGGCGGTTAGCCCAGCGCGGCCTCTGAGCAGGTCGGTAGACACCAGGCTCTCTCCTGGGCCGGGCCTGTCGGAGTACAGCAACAGAGGTTGGGCAGGCCGTGAGGAACTAAGGAGTCCCGCGCTCCGGGATGGCTGACAAAGCTAAGTCCAAGACTGGAGGGCCCCCTCCGCCCGAGGGTGCCCCCCCGCCCGCAGGGGGTGATGCACAACCCAAACCTGGGGAGGAAAAACCAAAGGACGCCCCAAAGCCAATGGCAGTGCAGCCCAAGGATGAAGTGGGCACGAGGAAAGGATGTCGCCGCTACCGGTGGGAGCTCAAGGACAGCAACAAGGAGTTCTGGGTCTTCGGGCATGCTTTCGTCAAGCTCGTCAGCCTGGTGAGCTGGACTGGTGTCTCTGCCCGGGCCCAACACCAGGGGCGGGCAGCGGACTCCAGAGGTCTCGGGGCACTTGGGCGGGGGCCAGAAGCCTTGGCTGCTGCTCAGGTGTGTTTCTCCACAGGGCTGCCTGGTGGCGGCGCTCATACTCTTCCATGGGCTCGCGGTACACCCCATCGTGCTGCTCATCGTCACCATGGAACTGTCCATCTTCATCTTCTTCATTATCCTCTACAGCTTTGCCATCCAAAGATACATGGCCTTCATCCTGTGGCCCATCACTGTGAGTGAGGGCCGGCGGGGAGGGCTCACTGCTGGTGCGCCTGGGACGTAACTACCAGCGGGAAACAGCCGCCACGCCCCACGTTGTGCCCAAGCCAAGGCGCTCTGGGTGGGGCTTGCGGGGACAGCTGGGTCAGGGAGGGCGTGAATGGGCAGCAAAGGCCCCCCAAACATCTAGCAGTGTGGGGAGCAACTGGGAGCAACCCGGACTAGACTAAGTTACTGGAATTAAGACTTATTCTATGCACCTGCTCTCCCACAATATGGCGCTGGGAGAGAAGAAAACAGCTTCTACACAGCTGCCTCCAGTTCAACCAATAAACTGTAGGACTTGCTCCTGATTGGAGGAGAGCAGCGTGCTCGGCGTGTGGGCAGCCGAGTTGGGATTGGCGGAGGAGGACTATAAAGGAGGAGAGAGACGGCATGCACCGGGAACATCTAAGGGGAACATCTAAGGGGAACACCTGTGCAGCCCCCGAGAGAGCCGGCCGGCGGTGTGCCGCTCCCCTGCGGAAGTGGGGAATGTGGCCAGGGGGAACTGCCCTTCCACGGAGGTGGAAGGGACAGTAGCCAACCCGGGAAGAACCAGCAGCAAACCCGGGAAGGGCCGAGCAGACAAAAGAACAACGCAGGGTCTTGTGTCGTTCCTCCATGAAGAGGGGGAGCGATATAATGGTGCCGTGACTCGGATAGGAAGCCTAGGCAGGGTTTAGTGTCGTTCCTCCACGAAGAGGGGGAGCGACAAGCAGTCTGCTGGGGTGGAGCTGAGGGCACCTCACCTACCTAATGGTCACATGACCAAGGTCCGAGGCTTCCCTCCTGGGGAAGAAGGGGGTGTGGCAGCCAGCCCTTCCCCCCACCCCTGTGCCAGCACACGTCTGACTAGGGAGATCGCCAAAGGCATCAGATCTCCAGAAACTCCAGGAAGAAAATCGGTCTCCCCACAACTCAGCAAGTTAAAAACGAGAATTAAAGCAAAAAGTCCCCGCTAAAGCAGCCTTCGGTCTCCCAGTGACTGTCGCTAGAAAGAATGTTTGCCTCAGAGGCCCGTCCCGCCCTCAGCAGAGTGAGGCAGAGCTGGGCAGGTCCCTGAGCCCGGCCCCGCCTCTGCAGTCGCAGCCCCGTGTGGGATGGTTCACGCTGCGGGACTGAATGTGAGGCGTGTGTGCTGCCTCTCTGCCCGTGCCCTGTGTCGTCACAGGTGCACGCACCGAGCTCCCGAGTCCCAGGTCCCCTGATTCATGGCACACTCACCCCGCCTCCAGAGCCCTCTACTGTCGGTTTTATTCACTTTGCACAGGAACCAACAGGCCCGCAGTGGCCGCCTGGTTCACCCTAGCTTTTCCTGTGAGTGGCAGGAAGACACTTCACCTCTAGCTTCGTCAGGAGGCCCTGAGTCTCTAACTGTGCTCTGCCACACCTCCCTGTTGATAGTTATTCAGGTCCAGGGCAGGTGAGGACCAAGAAGAGGGGCAGGCAGATGACAAGGTGACAAGGTGACAAGGCAGGCAGAGGACAGGTTCCCTAGCAAGGACTCCAAGATGAAAAGCCAATGAACCCTGAACATCTTGCTCCTGTACTCGCCTAAAAGTTGCCGGGGAAATGTTACCAATATCGCTGTAATGGGCTGGGGAAAACAAAGAGAAACACACAGGTGCCACAAATAGAAAACAGGCGCAGCAATGGACTTGGCCGTGAAGTGTGGCTGAGAATGGCCCCTGAGGCATGGGCTGCGCGAGGTGGAGGCAGAGGCTGTGACCCCCTTGTACAGCCAGCACCCTTAGGGAGAAAGTGGAAAGAGAAGACACATACCCTTCCCCAACCCAAGAAAGCAATGCCACACTCCGGCGGGGCTTCTGGGAGGGGCAGTACTGACGGGGGCTGGGATTCTTGGATTTTTGCCACCTTTCACCAAGAAGCCATTAGGCAGCCTAGAAACCTTCATTCCTGGGACTTAGCACAAGAGCTGACACCTGTTGACGTTCTGGTGCCACTGCTGGGGCTTCTAACAATGGTAAAGTCACGGTCAAAGCAGGAGGAGCTTCTCTGGGCAGAGAGGGGTGGGGTCATGGGTGGAGGAAACCTTGTTAAAAATGGACTCAAAATTCAAAACCATGAAACACCTGGTCATTTTTTAAAGATTTATTTAGTTAGTTGAAAGGCAGAGTTACACACACAGAAAGAGATTTTCCATCTGCTGGTTTACTCCCCAAATGGCCACAATGGCCAAGGTTAGGCCAGGCCAAAGCCAGGAGCCAGGAACTCCATCAGGTCTCCCGTGTGGGCTGCTTTCCCAGGTGCATTAGCAGGAAGCTAGGTTGGAAGTGGAGCCTCCAGGACTCGATGCAGCACTCTTACGGCATGCTGGCATCACAGGCAGTGAGCGTAACCTGCGTGCTCCAACACCCACCCCGAAACACCTGATTAAAACAACAAATCCCGTGGCCAGCACCGTGGCTCACTTGGTTAATCCTCCACTTGTGCCTCCCATGTGGGCACTGGGTTCTAGTCCCGGTTGCTCCTCTTCCAGTCCAGCTCTCTGCTGTGGTCCAGGAAGGCAGTGGAGGATGGCCCAAGTGCTTGGGCCCTGCACCCGCGTGGGAGACCAGAAGGAAGCATCTGGCTCCTGGCTTTGGATCGGCGTAGTTCCGGCCGTAGCGGCCATTTGGGGGGTGAAGCAACGGAAGGAAGACCTTTCTCTCTGTCTTTCTTTCTCACTATCTAACTGTCAAATACATTATCTATCTGTCAAATACATTAAAAAAATGTTTTTTAATTCCCATGAGTAAGACTTTAGCCAATATGACAAGCAGGAGGATTAGAAACCTGAAAGTATGAGATAACAGAACAGCTGCCTGAAAATCTTAGTAAGTTTAAGTGATTGGAGGCATAAATAAGGGTCCTAAGAACAAAACACTATGAGCACAGAACAGGCTACGTTTTGTGTTAATTTGAGATGCAGAGAGAGCTCTCATCTGCTGGTTTGTTTCCCAAGTGCCCGCAATGGCCAAGACGGAGCCAGGATCCAGGAACTCCACGCAGGTCATCCACAGGGGTGCTGGAGACGCGGTGATCCTACCCGGCTGCCTGCCTCTTGATCCCAGTCACCGCCTCGCAGGCTGTGTAGGAACCTTCATGCTGAGGTGCCTACTGGGCACCTCCCACCCGGAGAGGCACTGGAAGTGGCAGGCACCTGTCAGGTGCACGTGGTGATAACACATCTCACTCGTGAGGTGAAGACAAACACAGAAGTGAGCCTGTGTTGCCCCACACAGAGAAATCTCTGTCACGAGGGGACGGGGGCCCCGGGGGAAGGTGGGCGGAGAAGGCAGCCGTCCCCCAGCTGTGGTCTGCTGCGGAAGAGAGACCCCGGATGTTGACCTCTTTTATGAGGCAGGGGTGGGGCCTCTACAGGTTATGTAGCCATCTGGGAATTTTATGGCATTGTCATAAATTCCACGTGGGGCTCAATGTCTGTATTTGATCATCTCCCCCCACCCCAACCCAGGTCCCAGATGCATTCCAGGAAAGGGGGTGTTTTGATTGACAAGTAGGAGGATAGAATTACATGTAGGGGTAGGGGTGGGAGGATGGCTTGCAGGTATCCCCAGCTCAGTAATCCTAGCTCAGTGATACCTGCCTGCCTATTTATCCCACGTCACCGCCTCCCAGGGTGTGTAGGAAGCTGGAGCCGGGAGCCAAAGCTAGGTATCAAACCCAAGCACTCTGTGAAAAGCTTTTTTAAACAGTTGTTAATAGGGGCAAGTGTTTAGCCTAGCAGTTAACCCACATCCCATATCGGAGTGCCTGGGTTCAATGCACAGCTCCTAACTCCAGCTTCGGCCTAAGGCGAGACGACCCTGGGACACAGTGATTAGGGCGCCCACAGGGGACACGTGGCCTGAACTTCCAGCTCCCTGGCTCCAGCCCCAGTCCTGGTCTCAGCTTAGTGACAATTGTGACCACTGGGGAACTGAACCGGCAGATGTGACATATCCTTCTCTCCTCTCCCCTTTCTCTCTCTCTCTCTCTCTCTCTCATTCTCAAGTAAATAAATTGGTTTAAAGTTGTTACAAGAACGGAGGAGAGAAAGTATTCAGTGAGAGTGATGGAGACTTGCTTCTAGGTTCAGTGAGATTCTGTCGCTGGACGTGGCAGAGTAGGAAACCCCTCCAGTCTGCCCTCCCAGTCAGCAGCGGTGGAGCTGGGGAACAGGGGTGGAAGCCAACCAATGCCTACAGCACGCATGGTGCACTTAACGAGAAAAAGAACACTGTGCATGTTAGCTTCTGCACCTGCCGTCTCTCACCCCCGGCCCAGCTCGGCGCAGGCTGTGAAAGCGGCAGCCCACGTGTCTGGGAGAGTTTGGTGGTGCCAGAAGGAAAAATGGCCTTTGTTAGTGGGCCTCAGAGACCAACCTGAATAAGTAGAGCTACCCCACTCCCAGGGGGGAGGGGTCACCGCTAGAGAAATGGCAGTTCAATTCCACATTAATCTGAAATTAAATGATATCCCAACCTGATAGAGACTGCTCACGGAACTTCACCAGGGGGTTCCGAAATGCTTGTGGAAGAACGAGCAGAATCCCAAGGACGGACTTGTGCAAGCAGATACCAGATTTACTGTAAAGCTTCGGTACTAGGCTAATGGAATTGTCACCCACGAATGGTTGCGTCCCCTTCAAATTCATATCCCAGGTCCCTAACCCCCATGTGGCTGTCCTTGGAGACGGGGCCTCTAAGGAAATAATTAAGAGTGAACAAGGCGCTAGCTCGTGTCCCTGACCTGACAGGATCAGTGTTCCTCCTAGAAGAGTCACCAGGGCTGGCACTGTGTGCAGAGGGCCGCTCAGCATCCGGTTAGCCTTTCTCTGCTAATGAGCCTGGGAGAGCAGCAGAGGCTGGCCCCCAGTGCTTGGGCCCTCAACCCACCTGGGATTCCCTGATGGAGCTCCTGGCTCCTAGCTCCTGGCCCTGGCTCTGGCCTGGTCCATACCTGCTGTTGTGGCCATTTGGAGAGTGAACCAATGTCTAGAACTCACCCTCTCTCCTCTCTCTCTTCTTTCTCCCTTCCCTCCCCCTGTCCCTCCCTCCCTCTCTCTGCTGCTCTGCCTTTCAAATAAATAGCAAATCTTAGACTGAAGAGCATGACGTCAGACTTCTCCCTCTCCCCCACCCTCTTCTCTCTCCCCCAGTCTCCATATGCACGCACACTCACACATACACACGCATGCACATGTGTGCACACACAGAGGAAAAACCACGTGAGGACACAATGAGCAGACGCCAACCCTCACCAGAAACCAAATTTGTTAGCACTTTGATCTTGAACTTCTAGCCCCTAGACCTGTGAGAAAAGAAATGCTGAAGCCAGCCCAGTCTCTAGTATTATATTTTGGCAGCCAGAGAAGACCGATACAGGACTAGAAAGAACTCTGAAACAGAGCCATATATATATTCAACACAGTTGAGTATTCCATAAATATTCCCAAGACTACTGGAGGAAGAGAGAGGCTATATGGCTCCCATCAGAATTAAGACTGCACAACCTTAAACATCATAAACATTTTAAAAAACAAACCAAGGGGGCTGGCGTCGGAGAGCTCTTCCACTTGTTGGTTCACGCCCCAGATGGCTGCAATAGCCAGATCTGGGCCAGGCCAAAGCCAGGAGCCAGGAACTGCAGCTGGGTCTCCCACGTGGGTGGCAGGGGTCCAACTTCCACTGCCTTCCTAGGTAGCAGGAAGCTGGATTGGAAGCACAGCAGCTGGGACGCAAACCGGCACTCGAAGCAGGGACTCCAAGTTCAGCACAACCAGCTGAGCCACAACTCCAGCCCCAGCAGAACGTGCTATTTAAAAGGCAGAAGCGAGGCCGGCGCCGCGGCTCACTAGGCTAATCCTCCACCTAGCGGTGCCGGCACACCAGGTTCTAGTCCCGGTCGGGGTGCCGGATTCTGTCCCGGTTGCCCCTCTTCCAGGCCAGCTCTCTGCTGTGGCCAGGGAGTGCAGTGGAGGATGGCCCAGGTGCTTGGGCCCTGCACCCCATGGGAGACCAGGAAAAGCACCTGGCTCCTGGCTCCTGCCATCGGATCAGCACGGTGCGCCGGCCGCAGCGCGCTGGCTGCGGCGGCCATTGGAGGGTGAACCAACGGCAAAGGAAGACCTTTCTCTCTGTCTCTCTCTCTCACTGTCCACTCTGAAAAAAAAAAAAAAAAAAAAAAAAAAAAAAAAAAAAAAGGCAGAAAAGGGCTGGCGCTGTGGGGCAGCAGGCTAAAGCCCTGGCCCGCGGCGATGGTTGGCATCCCATAGGGGCGCTGGTTCAAGTCCCAGCTGCTCCACATTCTGATCCAGCTCCCTGCTAGTGCCCTGGGAAAGCAACGGAGGCTGGCCCAAGTCCTGGAGGCCCTGCACCCACATGGGAGACCTGGAAGAGGCTCCTGGCTTTGGATCAGCTCAGCTCAGCTCCAGCTGTTGCGGCCATTTGAGGAGTGAACCCGAGGATGGAACACCTCTCTGTCTGTCTGTCTCTACCTCTTTCTTTAATTCTTTCAAATGAATAAAATAAATCTTTAAAAAATAAAAATAGGCACGTCCCTGAAACTTGATGTTTGAAAAGCAAGTGTTAGAAGGTTTGATGCCTTTTATGTAAGTTGCTGAAACACACGAAATAGCGAATGGTCTCTATCTTCGCATATATTTATATAGAGAAATGTATCAAATCAGGCAGACGTTTGAAAACGCGCCCTGGGGAGGCCGCGCCGGCTCGGCTGCAGCCAAGCCCTCTCTGCCCTTGCAGGACCTCCTCAACGACCTGTTCGCCTGTGGCTTCCTCGTGGGCGGGGCCGTCTACGCCGTGAGGAGCCGCAAGACCATGCCGCTGCACTATTTTATCGCCGTGGTGAGTCCTTCCCCCCTGGGCTCTGGCTTGGCTTCGGCTCGGCTCCCCTTGGAGAACCGGGGCTGGGGGCTGAGGGCTGGGGGCGCCTTTTCTTAACGGAAGAGCAGCTTCTCACCAAAAACTCGTGGTCGCAGGTAAGTCGCCACGTGCGGCTGGGCGACCCTGCCAGCGAGGCAGCCACTGACATGAAGATGGGGTCTCGGGCACTGCCGGCCTGGAAGGAGGAGATGGAAGGGAGGAGGCCGCGGCCGAGGGCTTGAGTCGGGGGTCTACCCCGACCCGGAGGCCGGTGAGCTCGCGGCTGCTGCGGAGCTGGGGGCCGGCAGAAAAGCGGGGAGCAGCGGCAGAAGTAACCCCGAGGTTTTGCTTCTCAGATCCTGATGGGCGTGGCTGCACTTTTTGCTTTTATCGACATCTGTCTCCAGAGAAAACACTTCAAAGGCAAGAAAGTCAAAAAGAACGTGCTGGTTCCTCCCCCGCCAAAGAGTCAAGAACCACCCCCAGCAGATAAAGCGGAGCCAGCGAAAGACGCCGGGAAGGAGAAACCCAAGGAACCCGAGAAGGACAAAGGCAAGGAACCCGAGAAGGACAAAGGCAAGGACACGGAGAAGGACAAAGGGAAAGACAAGGATAAAGGGAAGGACAAAGGGAAGGGAAAGAAGTAGCCGGGAGGGGCCCCCGCTGTCCGGACGGCAGCAGTGCCCTGGCCAGCCCTGTCTCCAGCCTCGCTGTCCGTCACTGTCATCTTCTTCCAAGACTGCTCTTTTCCGTCTTCATAACCACCTGTGCCTGGAAAAGAGACGTCCCTTTAAACGGATCTGAAACCTGAAGCTGGTGTAAACCTTATTTTGTTCAACAAAAGCTCCCGGAAGTTCAGGTGCAGAAGGGGAGGCGGGGCCAGGGCTCCAGGACCCCCGGGAGCTTAGGGGACCAGGATGAACACCGCGCCCCCCCTCCCCCCGCTGACCGCACTGGGTCGCCAGAGGCGCTGGAGGGAAAGGGAAGCGTCCACTGTGCGCATGCCCACTGTGCGCACGTCCACTGTGCACACGTCCACGTTTGTGTTGGAGCTTCTTTAAGGTTTCCAAGCAGCCAGGAGGGAAGTTTTTTTGTTTGTTTGTTTTGGTTTTGGTTTGTTTTTGGCCTTCCTTGCTTTGACCTTGTGGCTTCGTGTTGAGCCTCATTTGAAGGTACCTGGGGGAACGCACATCGCAGGGCTCAGGGCCTCCAGGGACCTGACCCAGGCTGACAGGCATGGTGCCAGGCAGAGAAGGGAAGGCAAAGTCCCTCGGAGTCAGCCCACCAGCCCCCTGGGGCCTGAAGTCTGAGCCCAGCTCCACATGCAGCCGCACCGGCCCTCCCCAGCGCCCCACTTTCCATGCACAGCCCAGCCATCGCGGCCAGGCGCGGGGTCATCCTTAGGAAAGGGAGGCCCCCAAACAGGCAGGGGCACCTGGAAGGGGGGCTACGGACCTCAGCCTGGAGGCCTGAGCCCAGCAGGAGGGCCAGCTAGGGCCACCACATGACTGGGGCCTTTGTCCCAAGTACCTCCGGGATCCCGGAAGTGAGGCTTTCCCCTGGGAGAAGGGCGCTCGCGCTGGAGGGGGGCTGCTGCATGCCCTCCGGGGAGGGGAGAGTAAAGGCCTAGAAGCTGGGGTGACTCCAGTCCTGGCTCCTTCTGCCCCTCCCCAAACATCCGCATGGGCCAGGTGACCCAGGCAACCCTGCTGCCAGGGGCGAGAGCACCTGCAGCCTTCAAATGGTCGAGAGGGGGCAGCCGTGTGCGCAGTGGGCTAAGCTGCCGCTGCTGCCACCAGCATCCCCTATGCAAGCTGGTTCGAGTCCCGGTTGCTCCACTTCTGATCCAGCTCCCTGCTAATGCGCCTGGGAAGGCAGCAGAAGATGGTCCAAGGGCTTGGGCTGCTGCACCCAGGTGGGAGATCTGGATGGAGTTCCAGGCTCCTGGCTTCAGCATGACCCAGGCCCTGGCCATTGTGGCCATTTGGGGAGTGAACCAGCAGATGGAGGATTCTCTCTCTCGCCCTCTCTCTCTGTAACTCTGACTTTCAAATAAATAAATATTTAATAAATAAATAACAGAAAAAGATAATAATTCCTATTTCAGAAAAAAGAATATATTTCCTAAATATATATGTTTTTATGCAGAGACTTTGAAAGACCCACACAGTCAACAACAAAAAAATCCTCCAGGCTCGTGCTGAGCCTTCGAAAGAGGAGACGCACATGGTTCTCACACATGTGAAAAACACACCTGGGTGCCCTCCTGCGAGAGACATGCACACTCCTGTATGCAGGTGGCCAGGAGAGAGACGGGGGCATCTCCAGTCAAGGGTAGAGGGCTTTCTCAGGGGAGCTGATGGAAGCTGAGGTGCCCCCGAGTGCCAGGGATAGGGAGTAGGGAAGGGCACGGGGCAGGGGAAGCACTCAGGAGCCACCTGCGCACCTGATGGAGGCAGAGTGACTCGCACAGCACAGGTAAGTCTGGAAGTCTTTCATCATAACCCAGGGAGGCGCGGGAAGACGCCCACCAGCAACCGAGGGCCCGCCCTCCGCTCAGCAGCAGGCAGAGCCGGATGTCACCCTGGGTGGACTGCCCCGCCCCCGCCCCGCCCCCAGCCTGTGGTGGGATGGGCAGTGGCACCAGGGACTCAGCTGCCTCAGGCAGGGCCCCCACCCGGCTTTCCTCTCTCAGCCCCTCTAGCCCTGTCACCACATTTTTCTTTTTAAAGATTTGTTTATTTGAAAGGCAGAGTAACAGAGAGAGAGAGAGAGAGTTCCTGTCGGCTGGGTCACTCCACCAAAGGGCCAGAATAGCCGGGGCTGGGCCAGGCTGAAGCCAGGAGCCTAGAGCTCCCTCCCAGTCTCCCACGTGGATGCAGGGGCCCGAGCACGTGGGCCATCTTCCACTGCTTTCCCAAGTGGGTGCAGGGAACTGGATGGGAAGTGGAGCAGCCAGGACTTGAACTGGCGTCTGATACGGGATGCTGCCGCCACCAGCAGTGGCTTAGCCCACAACGCCGGCTCCCACATTTTGCTTTGTTCTCAGCACCTTTTCTGTAAATTTGGATCTAACTTACATGAACGAAAATACATCCATGTTGGGGGGTCCCACATGGGCACCGATTCGAGTCCAGCTGCTCCACACAGGACCAATTTGGGGCCGGGGGCGCAGAGCAGCGGGGACGCTCGGCGGCTGCGGGGAGAGGTGTGAGTTGCCCCCTCCACCGGGGCTGACCTTTGCAGTTTCTTGGAAAGTTAAACAAGCGGAGGCCCACCGCAGGCCCAGGCGTTTCCCTGGCAGACAGCTGGCCGCTGCAGCCGGAAGCACAGGTCGAGACAGAGATAACTGTTAGTGCTCCAAGCAGCCTGACTGGTGACAGCCCCGACAGGAAATCCAATGCCCCGGCACGGGGGAGGCTGTGTGGCAAGGGTGGGTTCTGCAGATGCCAAGAAGCCAGGCGTTAAAGGGTACACACTGTGCAGGTCCACTTTTAGGAAAGTCCCCAGCAGCAAACCTCAGCTCCGGGGACAACAGATCCGAGGGTGCCTGGGTCACGGCAGGTAACCTCCTGGGTACTGGCAATGTTCTTTGGAAGAGTGACCCAGGAACATAGGAGGGGGCTTCAGAAAAGTCCACGGGAAACAGGCGTTATGGAAAGAGCCAGGCATGGGTTCAAACAAATTTTGCACCACAATACACTTTCAGTTGCGTTTCCCACAAACTTTTTGAAGTACCTAGGTATGTTTGTCAAAGCACATCATATGGTACACTTAAAATTGATTTTTTTTAAAGATTTATTTACATCACAACGCCAGCCTGGTCACCAGCTCCTTTTGGACATCATCTTAGGGGCCGGCGCTGTGGCATTGTAGGCTAAGCCTCCGCCTGCGGCACCAGCATCCCACATGAGCACCGGTTTGAGTCCAGGCTGCTCCTCTTGCGATCCAGCTCTCTGCTATGGCTTGGGAAAGCAGTGGAGGATGGTCCACGTCCTTGGGTCTCTGCACCTATGTGGGAGATCCGGACGAAGCTCCTGGCTCCCGACTCTGGATCGGCTCAGCTCCAGCCATTGTGGCCATTTGGGGAGTGAACCAGCAGATGGAAGACCTTTCTGTCCCTCTCTCCATCACCCTGCCTTTCAAATAAAGAATAAATCTTTTATCTAGAAAGTCATTTTAGCATTTGTGTAGCAGTAGTCATTGTGGTTTTATTTAATTTTTCATGCTGTGTTATCTCGAGTACAAAGCCCTTTCCAACGCCTCTCCTAGAGACTGGCCCACCCACTGCTCCGTGTGGCCTCCGGTCTCCTGGCTGCTCCCCCAGCAATGGTGAGGTGATTCCTCTGCCTCAAGGAACAGAAATCCATGGCTTGGTGCCTTTGGAAACTCGGGCGGCAAACTGGTTGCCCCAGAATCTTTCGCTTGAGCCGCATCAAAAGAGCTAGCCCATCTCTGTCCGATGGTGGTCACGTACCGCCCGGGCAGCACCCCTGCTCCACGCCCAGGTCGCCAGTGCTGAACCTGATGAGCTGTCTCCTCGCCTGCCTCCGAATCCACCTGAACGGCGTCCTGCACCTGGATAAGAGGGTCGGGGCAGCCTCTGTCACGAGGCTCACCCCGTGCAGCACCTGATGAGGGACACGTTTCGTTCCCACAAGATCGTCCTCACTCTGCACCACTGGGACTCGGGCTCTGCAGGTGTAACGCGACAAACAGCCGAACCTCCCAGAGTGTCCCAGACTGGGGGACCTCGTGGATGCCAGCCAGGAAGCCCGCAGGGTAGGTCTCAGGCACCGCGCCGGACGGACGCAGGAAAACCCGCGCCTCGGGACCAGCGGATGGACTGCGCAGGCGCCTGGCCCATGGTCCAGCACCCAGGCTGCTGCGTCTTGGGGCTGTCAGCCAGGGCGGGGCTGGTGCTGGGGAGAGCCGGTTGTGCTGTTAGTTTGCATTCCCAGACGTGTAAGGATGCGCTTTCTGGACATCCATGTCTCCTTCGGTCAGCTCTGATCTTCGGTCTATTTTAAACATTGAGTTTGACTCCTGACTTGGAGTTCAGAGCCAAGTTTTTAATAACGCAGACCAGACCCGCGACACCCCCAGCCCCGTGACCTGGCCTCCTGCCAAGAGCTGTGAGGCAAAAATCCGAATCCCTGGGCCTAGGCCTGCCCGGTCCGCGGCCGCCCCTACACCCAGCCTTCTGCGGTGCATCGCACCTGGCTGCCCTCTGACCCAGACACCTGGCAGCAGGATTGGCCATACTCACGGCTCCGTGGACACACTTAGCGTTCTGTACCCCTCCCCTGCCCCCAGCTGCAGCCTCCCTGTGCGCTGGGTTTTCTGCTGCCGTGGACTGAGCAAGCCAACGCCAGGAAAGGCTTCTCTGCGGAATGCCAGCCCGCGGGACCCCTGCAGAACAGGACTCACTCCAGGAAGAAGGGTGAAGCAGCAGCGTCTCGGGAGGCAGGGGCAGCATGTACAAAGGCCCTGTGGACACTGCCGGGTGGACCGGCAGGAAGGGAGGGCCCGCAGGGGTTATACTTGGTCTCTGTGCCAAGACCCTGGGCAAGCTAGGAAACTCCCGAGGTTTGTTTACTGTTTGTGGGGATGGCGGGTGGGGACGGAAGTGACCGGGATTGGTGATTTAAGCATCTCCCTAGCAGCCAAGAGGCCTCTTAAAGAGACCTTGAGACAGCTGAGGGAGGGGGTCTGGGGGCCGCCTTGCGCTCCAACCCGTCTCGCGGCTGGGGGAGGAGGGATGGGCACGCCCTGAGAAAGTCACGCTGAACTCCAGGCGCCCTGCAGGCGC